ATGGTAATCTCACTTTACCTGCTTAAATGATAAAGATTCTTGTTATATGCAGATTTTGTTATAGTTGAGGAAAATTCAGAGAGTCATTGTTTAATTTAGAGGTACAGCAACAAGGTGGGATATACTCTTAAAGTATATTCAAGATTTATTTTATTTGAAAATAATGTTGTTGAGAATATATATATATACAGTCACGCACCACCTAACAATGTTTCAGTCAACAATGGACTGCATATATGACGGTGTCCCATAAGATTAGTACCATATACCCTAGGTGTGTACTGGGCTATACCATATAAGTTTGTGCAAATATACTCTATGATGTTCACACAATGACAAAATCACCTAACGATGCATTTCTCAGAAAGTATTCCCATCATTAAGCGACAGACACATGACTGTATTTATATACACCCACCAACTGGCCACTCAGTCACACGTTGTTTACGGAGAATTACCAGCCTCTGGACTGTGACTTGTTTGAAATGTCTGTCATTTGCATGTTAGTCTATTAATGCCATGAAAGAGGAAATGTAGTGTAGTGGAAAAGCACTGAGTCAAAACACTTGACTGTGCAACTCTATGATCTGTCCTGCTTTCCTCACAGCGTTGTTATGAAGCTCAAATGAGATGCTTCTTATAAAAGCCCCCAAATTATCTTCCTTCTTGAGAACAGCTACTGGTTGACTTGTAATTAAAAAATATTTTAAAAAATTTTGAAACCATTCTTTACTTGGCGCTGAGGCATACCAGATTGATTTTCTTGAGCCTACTTCCACAAAATTTAAAAACAGTTTCAATTTAAATTTATGGTACTACTTCTGTCCATCCTATGATTACAGTAAATCCTATTAACAATGAACAGTAGCCGTAGACATCCTTTCTGAATATTCCCCCAGAATATGCACACTCTCTAATACATATGCCTACTCTAGCAGATGTATAACACATAACACAGTTATATGAAAACACACTTGGCAGAGCCAGTTCAGCTCCAATGATGCAAGTCTCGTTTCTAGGAGGTAGAATGCTTCTACGCAATAATTTCACTATAGCTCCTAATTGATTTTTAGTGTTAACCACAATTCATAAGTGTACAATTAAAACTGCTTAAAAACACGGTAGCCTATATGAGGTTGGTTCATATCTTAAACCCTCAAACATACTCATTTTGACTTTTGAGTTTGTATTAGTAGTTGACTTACTATTCTCTCACTAAAAGTGATTGAAAAGCAGGGACCTAGGCTGGGTCTCTGGAAAGATTTCTCTAGAATCAAGTGGCAAAGAGGAGCAAAGCCAGCACTGCTGACCCCACAGGCAGAAGTCTGTGCTAAACACTGTCACTCTTCTACACGACAGAGGGTGTGGTCTTGCATGAGCTTTTTGCTCCACACTCTGTAACAATTACTTTCTTAGGATAAGGTAATTTTCCACTTGCTCCAATGAAACAAAATCAAAATTACCAGAGAGAGTACCTGGAGGGCATTGTGTTGGGGGATGCAGGCTACACAGGTCCACATAACATGATTACCATATTCACAGAACTGGGGATTCTGCTTTAACAACTAACTAAAATTTGACATATCTTATAGATGAAAAAAAATTAGATAATTATGTTCCTAGAAATTAATAGGGTCATGATTCCAGACTTTCTTTCCTGACTTCACTTTCTGGCAGTTTGACAGAGAACCTTCTGTGCTCACACAGTGTTTCCTCTCCCTGGGCCACAGCCTTCCTTTCTTAGAAGACCTGGCAGCTGGGCTGGGGCCGTGTAACTGTGTTCCCACTGAAGGTGACACAAGCCACAGCCAGGATTGGCCTTTCAAAAGATGTGGTGCCACTTTCTAGCATGCTTCTTTCCCTGCTGCTGCAATGTGTTCCCGTTGGCACAGACATAAAATGGAGGATGCTGCCCAAACCCCACCAGATTTTCCATTAACGAGAAAAAACTTAAGAAACTTAACCTCAGTTAAGCCTCTGAGATTTGGGGGTTAATTATTACTGCAACATAGACAGGGTAGGACCTGACTTACAGAAACAGTATGGTAGAGTAGAACCCTGACCAACTGAAAACAATAAAAAATGCTAGAAAAAAACTTAAAAGGAATCTTTTAAAATGTATTAAACATCTGTTTTGTTTTTTAAAGAGTACTCAGAAGCCAAAAGCTAAGTTTTGACTGAAAAAGAACCCCAAATCTACCTTTCGTCTTGTAAACATCTGGTGTTTACCAAATCAGATGAACCTGAGCTTTGGCTACTAAGGCCTTCAAGGATGGAAGGTCATCAGGAGACAAAGCCCCAGGCCTGCCCAAGGTCCGAGTGTAAAAGGATACTGCACCACATAAGCCAGAGGCTCTCAGTGTCAAGATAAATAACCAACACTCCCATGGCACGCCTAGGAGACCTTGGCACTTCACAGCTGAGAGGAGAGAACAAGGCTCCCCTGAGCATTTGTAACCAGAAAGTCAAAGTCCCAGCAGGATTACCGTCAGGATTCACACTGCCTAGATGGTCCAAAAAAGTCTCAAACAAAATGTCCTAAGTTGTTAACCTACAAATAACCGGGCAAGGAGTCCACTCTAAATTCTCCTCGGACTCACTTATAACTCACACTTCAAATGATTCCCACAGGCAAAGTTCCCTGAAATACGAGGTCATGGCCAAAAATCACAAAACACAGAAGGAATCGAGGTTACAAAATACAAAAGCAGAAGTGAATATAAAAGACAACTGACTTCTAAAGACTGCAGATATTAGAATTATTCTAGACTATATCATAAGTATGACAATTATCTTTTAAGAAAGACTCTTGAAAATGTGAGTAAAGGGCAAGCATATAAGAAAGAAGAAACATGATAGGAATTAAAAACTCACTGGATAGATTTAGCAGCAAAACAGACACAGTGGAAGTGGAGAGGGAAGTCGATCACAGAGGTGACGAAGGACTTCAGAATGCAGCCCAGAGAGATTAAGACAGAAAATATGAAAGAGGAGTTTTGAGAGATAGATGATACAATTAGAGGATCTTATATACGTTTAACTGGAGTTGCAGAAAAAGAATAAGGCAGAAACAATATTTGAAAATATAATGGCTGAGAGTTTTCAAAATTGATGACAGATAGCACTCTGTAGATAGAGGAAATCCAATGAACCCCAAGCTGAATACATTTGAGGAAGCCCACAACTATACACATTACATTGAAGGTACAGAACACCAAAAACAATAAAAAGATCTTAAGAAGTCATTTTTTCAGACGTGGCTTTTTCTATCAGTCAATCATTCAATTTTACTTTTTAAAAATTATTGTACTGCATCTGTAACTAGTAATCTATTAACCAGACTCTCTACACAGAGACAAGTTACTGTTGACTACTTTAGCAAACATCTGAAACCATTGGGAAATTGGGTATTTAACAAACATGTAATTAGAAATCCAAAAAGCATATCTGTGCACATAACACCACTAACTGAAATCTTTTCATGACCTCCCACCTATGGCAAAAAAGTTCACACTCCATTGCGTAGATTTCAAAGCTCTTTTCAATCAGATCCTAACTAGTTTTCCTGTCTTTCTGGCATTTTTCCATACTGCTGCACAGAATCACCTGCAGACCCTACAACATACCCTGCCCCTCCATCTTTCTTTAGTGGCTCCTTCTGGCCTGAACGACTTCCCAACATCTCCCATAGCAAACATCTACTCATCCTTGAAGATTCTGCTGAAATGTAAGCTCAATATATGTATATTCCATGAAAGCAAGGGGTTTTGTCTGTTTTGTTGGCTGTTGTATCCCTGAAAAAGTGCCTGGCATATAGCAGGTACTCAATAAATATTTGTTGAATTAACGAGTGCCTCTGGGAAGCCTTTCTTTACCAAATTCGTTACCAAATTATATAATCTTTCACCATCTTTATGTGCCAGCTTTTTAACATTGCTTTATGTTTATGTTTTTATAAATGACTCCTTCATTGGACATGTACTGGAGAGCAAAGATCATATGTTACTATTTTTTTTAATCCTCAACTGCCTAGTAGTGTAACAGGTAGCAGACACTCCATACCTGTTTGTTGACTAAATAAATGGACAGTATGGAGTTTGAGAACTGAATTCTTTGGCTCCCCTTCCACATCTCATAGAAAGCGTTCCAGAAAGCAACAAAGACAGGCAATGCAGAGAGGCAGAAAAAAGTGCAAAACTGGTTGAAGAATGGTGAGCATGCATTACACCCACGGTATTAATGAAACGTTTAAGTAAAGACATGCTACAGATGGTGGATAGCAAATGGTGCACAAACTATACTGTAAGTAGTATATTACAATGAGAGGCAAAAAGAAAAAAACTCTCCACTATCTTGAAAAAACTGCTACCAAATGATTTTTCAAACTGAAATCCACCACTCAACCTTATAAAACTTGTTCTTTTAATAAGAACTCTGTTCTAAGCACTACATTGATAGAAAATTTCCTGAATGTTTATCATTGGAAATGAATGACATCATCATTAGAAATTTATTCCAGAGCAGTGAAATTAATAAGCAGGCAACTTATGAACAGTGAAGCTAAGATTTTCTTTTAAGTACTTAACAAAATCAAATCCAGTTTCTAATTATAAGGACAACACTGAAAATATATGAGAATTCCACATGAAATATTTGCCAAGCTTCATGTTTCCTCTGTTGAGATTTTTCTCAAGTGGCATTCACATTCAGCTGCTCAAAATGCAGAAGTGCTAAACTTAATTCTTAGTCAATTCAATTCAGTTACAAGATTTTTTTTTTTTCTGGGTGCAATAAAATGAAAACTTTGAGGCTTCTCCTCTACTTTTTTCCTGTTCAGTGACCTGAGGCCATAGACTAAAGTAGCCACAAGTTCAGCAAACATGGTCAACTTCACTCATAGTTCAAGGACACAAACTGAGCTGGTATGTTCTCCTAGTCTACGCAAACGTTAGCAGTTTCATGGAAGCAAAGTACTGACAATGTGTTTATTCTTCACTTACTGGCTGGAGCAGGTAGATGAGAGATTCCTCTTGGATTATTATAATTGGCAAAGGAGTGATGCGAGTTGCTTGAAACAGGGTGCTTACAGATGCCATGATCTGGTCAAAACGCCCAGCAAGTCCTCCCAGGGTCACAATCACATCCACCTACAAAAGGCAAAGTAAAACTGGGAGTCACATGTTTCAACAACTTTAAATAACTAAATAGTATCAAACACCTAAATAGAGCTTTCAATACTATATTTTCTTTGATAAGCCATAAAGAAATGGTAGACATCATTTCCGTTATTCAGATGAAGGAATGAAGTTACTTGTTCAAGGTCACATGTTGGTGAGTGGCGGGGTCAGCTTTCCAGAACAGCTCTTTCGAGCACAAAGTTTAGGTTTTTCCCATCTGCCTATTCACTTGGAAAACTAGCTAACTCTTCCTTTAAAACTGCTTACATGTTCCTCCCATTTGGAATCTTCCCCGATTTCACAGCTGGTGCCTCTCGCATCCACTCCCATAGCATACCTGTGGGCACTTCTTTCACAACACAGCTCACATGACTGAGCCTGTCTTATAGGTTAGTCACCCTCTAGAATTCAAGAATCTTGAGGGGCTGGACTGTCTTTTTACTGAACCTCATTTTTATTTTTACATGCAAAAATTGGATAACAACAGCCAGGGTTGCTGTGAGGATTACATGAGGTATTTACATGACTTAATAAGTGTAAAGCATCTAGAACATGTTCTATAGCATAGTGATTAAAAAAGCTTAAAAAAGTTAGCTACTCTTCTATTACGTTTATTTTTGTTACATTTATATTACTATTAATATTTTTGTTACTATATATAGTATAATTATATATATTACTAATGTCATATATCATATAATTATATATTATTAATAATATATAATATTATATATTGTTATTATATGCAGTTTGGTATGTTACTTTTTTCCCTTAACACTTTAAAGAGAGCATTTCCTATGACTATAGTATAGTTTATTTAAATGTTCCCCTGTTGTGGAATATATATTTCCAGGATGTTTATGTATAAAATGACTGAGATGCTTTTCTTACACATAAGACAATGGGTCAAGAAGGGCTGCAGGGCAGTGAAAGGGCTGGAGGAACTGTCTCCTCCTGCATAAAGTAGTTTTCATGGTCCTGAGGAGAATGGAGAAAGAGACACGCCTCCTCTCTTGACTCCTACTCTCCTGGTGCTGGTCGGTCCCATCTTACAAGGTATCAGCACAGTCAAAGCTGATATACTGATCATGAAAGAAGGAGGGAAGAGCTTAATTAAAATACTGTAAGAAAACCTTACATAAGATAACAACTAACAGTAATAATCATTCTCTCAGGAATAAAATAGAAATTGTTTAAAAATAGGGAATATTTGGTCTTTAGGTTTTAAAGTAGTACATTAAAAAAAAGCTTAGATGACGTTTAGTCCATGCAGATGGCATGACTTTAGAAGAATTACGTTACCCAAGCACCAATATAACCTGTTCAATTCTCAGAGGAACAACAAGCGGTATAAGCTCCACGCAGCCGAAGGCTGTGTTCCTCTGGTTCACTGGTCATGGCCCTGTATTCTGCATAGTACCTAACACACAGGATACTCAAGCGCTTGATGAATGAATAAGCGAACACATTGCAAGAAGGGACTCATCAGCCTAAAGAAGAAATATATTAATTGCCAAACTGTGGGAATATATAAATCAGAATGGGGTTCCATAAAAACACAAAAAGTAAATCACACAGAACTGAGAAGTTTGGAACAAGTTTCCTATTCCTGACCTTATCAGAGTGTAGGGAGAATGGGAATTTTTACTTTGGATAAGATGCTTCAAGTCAAAGCTATAGTATTTTAAGACAGGCACACCACACATCTCTATGACCTAATACTATCTTTGAAGATCTTTCTAGAACTCTAAGAATTAGATTTGGGGGCCCAGGAAGACAGTGCACCCCAGGAAGCACGCATTACTCTGAATACGTGGGTGAAGACAGGGACATCTGCTAATCTTCAGAGGAAAAGGGTAACTTGTAAGCTTCTGTTTGCATGTCAAGTCAGATAAGTGGCTTCTAATCCTGTTGAGGAGGCCTCATCAGTAAAGCCTCTGCAGACCAGTAGAGAAAGGCCAAGAAATTATATAGGACCTCAGAAAAACCAAAGAGAATCTGCTTTAAACTGAAGAGAAAGACAGTAAAAGAAGTTATATATGAAATATATAGAAAGTTCTAAGGCTCTAGTAAAAACCACATGGCTTATTCCTATCTACATAATCCTAAATTCATATCTGAAGCAAGGCCTCATGATAAAATAGTTTATTCACGATGCAGATTCTGGAATCCCTTTTTCAGGTTCTCAATTTTTCATTACTATACTCTAAGCCTTGAGGGATCCCACAACCTTTAAGGCTGAAATTTAATCCCCATCTTCTACAGTGGGATATTATGATGAATAAGCAATACCTGTAAAATAGTCACTGAATTTTTCAGAATAAGGAAGCAGGAAGATTACTTCTCATCACGACTCATTTTCCCTCCAGGAAGTATTTAGCAAGACTGATTAAAAACGTTATAGAGGATCGATGCAGGCTGCAGGTGGGGTGGGAGGAGCCAGCCTGGGAGCAGCTCCGCGGGTTCTCTGGCTCTGGCCGTAAGGAGGACATCTGAGAGTCACCAAGAGAGAAGAAAGGAGACAGACACCACCCCTGCCTACTTACATAGGTTTTACAAGGCTAGATTTATGTCTTTAGGACAATAATGCCTCTGGGACAGGAGTGTTCAATCTGAAATAGACCATTTACAGACTGCCAGGGGGCCTTTTCTATGTAGATCCAAAGCCTTGTGCATTTATTTCTAATATCACCCAGTGCATGGTAAATTTTTAAAACTTTATATTTTCCTGATGCCTCAACATTCCCACAAAAAGCCCGTAAGCACCCATCCCAGGTGCCCCAGGGTGATAAGGCTGGTCCCTGCCACAGTTCCCCTTCTTGCCCTCCCCTGACTGTGACCTAGTGACATTCAAACACACCAATGAAACCCTCTCCAGCTTTTGCTTGTGACCCCACCCTGACCTCCGATAAGGCACTTGCCCACAGGTCCTCGCTCTCTCCCAGCTCCACACCTGCTTGGTTGAGCCGGCTCCCTGGGTGCTCCTCCCATGTGGCCCCCTGCATGGCACACCTTGACCTGTGATATACCAGCCCTTTCATTTCATACGCCTCTCTGCGGTGTTACTCTGTGTTTGCATGTGTCTGCATCAGACTGATCATCAAAAACTCCCAATTTAAATAGCATAATTATTCCTTACACACACCCAGTCACACTTGGTTATAACTATTGATGTACTTGTAACATCTCTCTTTCTAGAGGAGGCCCATGAATCACAGATGCCTGCTGCGGTGTTCCCAACATGGCAGACAACAAGTACTTACTGAGCTTCCCCTAAGCATATAAAACATCAGGGAAAACTGAATAAATCATCAGAGAGGCAAGAAGCTAATTATTAGGCTGAGTTACTATCACCTAATTCCTACAAAATAGTTCTTTCCTACTTGGCAAGAGTTCCAACAATTAGTGGCTTTTGAAAAGAGTAGCTTATTTCACATTTGTTACCCCAGGCAATATTTATTGATCATTTACCACGTGTTAGGCACTGTTCTAAATACTTAGGAAATATCAGTAAAGAAGACAGAAACTCCTGCCTTCACAGAGTTGACATTCAAATGGAGGTTAATACACAATTGATAAAAATATGTTTATTAGGATGTGAAAAGGTGGTAAGTGCTATAGGAGAAAAACACAGTAGATGGGAGATCAAAAATGCCAGGCTTTCCTGAAAAAGCAATAGAATAGCAGCAAAGACCTGAAGGAGATGAGGGAGTTGGCCAGTGTACGGATACCTGGGGCAGGATGCTTCAGAGAACAGACTGTACTGAGGCTCTGAAGCAGTGAAATGACCCCAGGCACTTTCAAAGAGATTCAGGAGCTTAGTGGGCAGAACTGAATGAGAAATTAGTAGGAGGAGTGAGAGAAATCAGAGTAAAACATTAAGTGCTAGATTTGTATAGAGACTTGTGAAACCACTGTAAAGTCCTTGACTTTTATTAGCATTAAATGGGGAGCCATTTGAGCACAGGAGTGACATGATCTATATATTTTTAAAAGTCACCAAGTTGAGTGTGTTGAGAATAAACTGTGGGGAGGCAAAGAAGAAAGCCAAGAGACCAATAAGAGATTATCGTAGGACTACAGATGAGGTAAATTTGCTGGCCCCATCAGTCTATCAAAAACTATCACCAGTGGCATCCTCACTGCCAAATCAGACGATCAGTTTTCATTTCTGCTATTATTTGATCCATCAGCAACATCTGACCAATTCATTCTTACCTCCTCCTGGATACAGTCTCTTCTAGGAAGATGGGCTTCCAGCAAACCATATTCTCTTGATCCCACTGGTTGCCCCTTCTCAGTCTCCTTTGCCAACCTGTAGACTTTGGAGTGGCCCAGGGCAAGGTCCTTGATTCTCTTCTCTCTCCTGTCACTACATTCTCTCCCTTGGTGTTCACACACAGCCTTGTGGCTTTAAATACCATCTCTGTCAACATTTCCTAAACGTGTATCCCCAGTCCAGACCTCTCTCCTGAACTCCAAGCTCATATATCCAAGTGCTTACTTGACATCTGCATTTGGATATCCAATAGAGATCTTGAAGTTAACCTGATCTCTCCCACTGTCTTCTCCATATTAGTAGCTCCAGCCAAAATCCCAGAGTCATCCTTAACTCCTCTCTTTTTCTTATACCCCTTCTTCATTTTCTTAGGAAATTCTATGGGCTCTACCTTCAATATGTATCCAGAATTTTTCCACTTCTCACTACCCACAACCATGGCTAAAGCCACCAAAATCTGTCAGGGAGTGTCAGCCACCACTATATCTCACTTGAAATACTACAACAGCCTCCAATAGGTCTTTCTGCTTCTGCCCTTATTTCCCCACACCTATTCTCCAAGCAGTATCAAAAATAATCCTGTTAAAGTGTAAATTGGACTATAACATCCTTCTGCTCAAAATCCCCCAGTAACTTCCCAATGTTGTTTATTAGGACTTACAAAGCGCTGCATTGTTATCCAGATATCTCT